TGATTGGTACGAGATTCCTCCTGCTCAAGGGGTTCAAGTGGATCAACAACATTGATTAGTTGACATTAATCCTAGAAGATACCTTAGATCTTATGAGCCTTTCATTCTTGCTAGTCAGGCAAGGCAGGTTTATTACACACCTACCCATCTATTAATCATGAAAGAAGGGGATGGATTACTGCACTTAAAATTAAAGTTAGGAGTATCATTGTAATACCCCAAAATTTGGGGATATTTTAGCATTAAATAAGGGATTTATTTGAGGGAAAATATTATGGAGGGGCTTAATGATCAAACTGTCCAAACTTGAGGGACTTAAAAAGAAAGGAAATTAGGATAAGGATGGTTGAGTTGTTCTTTCTTTTTCTTCTTCCTTATCCGCGTGATCTGCTCTTCTTCTTCTCCCCTGCACCCGACAAGCCCCCCCAAGCCACCGACTTTCTTCCCCCTTGAGAAACCCGGTGGGATCTTGATGAATTCTCTTCCTTTCTTGTTAAATCAAAAGATTTGAGGCTTAGAATCTTCCCTCTCAACCCAGAAAATCCCGGATCTGCTCTGCTCTTCTCCCCTGTCCGCCGGCTGCTATGTGGGTTTGAATTTCTGGGCATTTTTTGGGTAAGCCACAGCCAAGAAATCATCTCTTTAACCTTGATTTAGGCTGGGTTATGCTAATTTCTGTTTATTTCCCTCAATTTTTTTGGGTAGTCCGTGAGTTTCCCCTGCAGATGCCACCGGCTTCTTCTCCCTGCTAGGTTTGGTTCTTGCTGGAAATTTTTGGTATGATGGCCTCTTCTTTAAGCCCTAAATTAGCCATTTAATTGCTGCCTTGTGTGTGTCCGAATTGTGCCAGAAATGGGGAGGAATTCCGGTAGCATTTAGTAGCATTTTAAATGTGTTTTAAGCTTGATTAAGTAGAATTGAGCTTGAATTAGCTGCTGTGATGTTTTGTGTGAAAATTCCGTGTGTGTGAATTGTGATTTGCCAAAGTTATGCTCTCCCTGTGCTGCCGTGAGCAATGGGAAAATTTTGGTAGATTAAGTTATGTTTTTAAGCTTGGTTTAAGTGTAAATTAGCTTGAATTGGGTTGTTGTGATTTTGGAGTGAAATCTCGTGAATTAGCTAGTGTTTTGGCCAAATTGTGGAAGTCGGAGTACTGTTCACGTCGTGATCACTGTTCATGGGTACTGTTCATAGGCACTGTTCACACACCGAGAGTCGACAATTAATGGGGATTTAAATGATTAGTTTGTGATATAAGAACGAATTTGGAGATATTTGATCATGTGGAGATTTATGGAAATAGCCTTGTGATTAGGAATGATCCTAATGATGATTTCAGTGTGAATTTGTGATAGTGGTATTAATTCTTGGAATATTTTGATTAGGTTCTTAATCGTTTTGTCAGTTTAGTACGTGAATTGAGTGCTCGGTTTTGCGGAGTGAGGTAAGTAAAATTATGGTAACGCCCTTCGACTTTTCAAGCATGTTTTGATTTGTTTTTGAAATGGTGGCGGGACTAAACCTGTTTTACACAAGTATGACTGATTTGAAGTGAAAGGTTTTATGCTTTTCATTAAATTGAGCATGCCTACTTGAAATTTAAGTGATTGTCCTGATGATCTGAAAGTGATTGTGAATTGTGATTTTCCTGCTAACTTCTGCCTGTTTTGTCTCTGATATGGTCATGTTACTCGTGTGCCCGCCAGTGGGAGGTTTATAAACGCTGGCCATGACCTATAGAGGAGACGTCTATTTCGTGCCCGTACTGTATCCGTTTTTCATGATTGCACATGTTGGCATGCTATAAGTTTAATTAAGGGCAATCCATATTTTACTTACTGAGTTATCTCACCTCATTTTTCTCATCCACCATTTCAGGTAGTGTGCCCTGAGACTCGGAAATCAAGGGGAGTGACGTGATAAAAGGCTAGCCACTTGAGATTTGACATAGATTTTAGATACATGTACACCACGCTCTTGTAAGTTAGATTTTAATTGGAAATTTTATGGTA